TTATGGCGGATGTCAAGTACTTCTACTTCAACAACCCGTATTTGTTCAAGTACCGCCCCAANAAAGACGATTTATGGCAGATGTCAAGTACTTCTACTTCAACAACCCATATTTGTTCAAGTACCGCCCCAACCAAATCATGAGGAGATGCGTACCTGAAAATGAACAACGGGATGTCCTTGCATTTTGTCATTCACAAGCCTGCAGTGGACATGTCTTGGTGAAAAAACTTTGGCCAAAATTCGTCAATCAGGTTTTTACTAGCCCTCTCTTATCAAAGATTGTGTTTCGTTTTGTAAGGGATGCGACAGTTGCCAATGGTTGGGTAGTGTGACCCAAAGAAAAATGATGCCCCTATCACCAATACTTGTTATAGAAATATTCGACTGTTGGGGCATCGACTTCATGGGTCCTTTCCCTATGTCATTTGATTATTTGTACATCCTCCGAGCAGTGGCTTATGTGTCCAAGTAGGTGGAGGCTATTCCGGCCAAGACTAATGACCACCGGGTCATAGTCAAGTTTCTCAAGGAGAACATCTTTTCGAAGTTTGGGATGCCTTGTGCAATAATAAGTGATGGTGGATCACATTTCTGTAATAGGCCATTTGCATCTCTAATGTTCAAATATGACATCATTCACAAAGTAGCCACTGCCTATCACCCACAAACAAATGACCAAGCCGAGCTAGCCAATAGGGAGATCAATAACATTCTAGAAAAAATGGTTAACCCAAACAAGAAGGATTGATCCGATAGATTGACCAATGCCCTATGGGCATACCATACTGCATTTAAAACTGTTTTGGGCATGTGTCCCTATCGGCTTGTCTATGGAAAGGCTTGCCACCTGCCAGTCAAAATGGAACACAAGGCCTATTAGGCCATTAAGAATTTAAATGTTAATTTGAGAATGGCTAGTGATCATAGGAAGTTAGAGCTGAATGAGTTAGAAGAGATTCGACGAGATCCGTATGAGAGCTCCAAAATCTCAAAAGAATGGGCCAAAATCTTTCTTGATAACTCCATCGTAAGGAAATCATTTGAGGCAGGGCAAAAAGTGTTCTTATATAATTCTCACCTCTCAATTTTCCAAGGCAAACTTTGATCCCGTTGGGATGGGCCCTATCTCGTAAAGGTGGCCTTCCCCATTGGAGTTGTTACAATCACAAATCCTGAGAATGGCCAAACATTCTAGGTCAATGGCCAATGACTTAAGCCATTCTTTGAAGATTTTACTGGGAAAGAAGTGGAGGAATATTTGATTGACCTGGTCTATCTGGACTTGGGGGAGGAGTAACAATTGTTTATGCTTTCTAGTGTACAGCTGCTTTTGTTTCCCTATGTTATTTTTATCTTATGTCACTTACTTTCTTTGGTTGTAAAGTATTGATTTTCTTCATTTCAAATCATGGTGCTTTTGTTAAAAGCTCATTTTTGAGGTGCTCTCTAACCTTACTAATCTTTTTCATGTATTTCATTACATATTGTATCTTTTTGTTGCATTGAGGACAATATATGATTCAAGTTGAGGGATGAGGTGCACCATTTGCATGATACGCCAATGTTGTTGGAAAAAAATTTTGTGATATAGATTTTTGTTTGCATTTGTTGCATNTCCATCGTAAGGAAATCATTTGAGGCAGGGCAAAAAGTGTTCTTATATAATTCTCGCCTCTCAATTTTTCAAGGCAAACTTTGATCCCGTTGGGATGGCCTCTATCTCGTAAAGGTGGCCTTCCCCAATGGAGTTGTTACAATCACAAATCTTGAGAATGGCCAAACATTCTAGGTCAATGGCCAATGACTTAAGCCATTCTTTGAGGATTTTACTGGGAAAGAAGTGGAGGAATATTTGATTGACCTGGTCTATCTGGACTTAGGGGAGGAGTAACAATTGTTTATGCTTTCTAGTGTACAGCTGATNGAAAGAAGTGGAGGAATATTTGATTGACCTGGTCTATCTGGACTTAGGGGAGGAGTAACAATTGTTTATGCTTTCTAGTGTACAGCTGCTTTTGTTTCCCTATGTTATTTTTATCTTATGTCACTTACTTTCTTTGGTTGTAAAGTATTGATTTTCTTCATTTCAAATCATGGTGCTTTTGTTAAAAGCTCATTTTTGAGGTTCTCTCTAACCTTACTAATCTTTTTCATGTATTTCATTGCATATTGTATCTTTTTGTTGCATTGAGGACAATATATGATTCAAGTTGAGGGATGAGGTGCACCATTTGCATGATACGCCAATGTTGTTGGAAAAAAATTTTGTGATATAGATTTTTGTTTGCATTTGTTGCATTAGTGAAAAATATGTGAAAATTTTGAAAATTTTTTATGGAAAATATCTAAAAGTTAATCTGCATTCCCTTATGAATAATGTGTGGATTGGATGACATATTCATCTTTGTTGTAAACTTAGACCACATGAGAATACCATGGAAACTGACCATATGCATGAGTATCACATATGTATTGATTTTTGAACTCAACTGTATGTGACCTTTGAATGTGTAATTTCAGCAATTTACGGATTGGATTCATGTTTTAGGCTTGACATAAGTAGTGGAGATGAGTAAGAACTCATGTGAGCTTTAATGCCAATCCTTGTTTGGAGGTAACTTACATTTACTCAAATAACAAATTTTCAATATCAAATTTGTTCAATAGTCTCATCATACTTGTTTTTGTTAGGTGAATCTGGATAGTAGACTGACTTGTTTTGATTATACAATGCCATCCCATGCACACCTATAAGTGATTTTAGGCCATCTTTGAAATACTTTGAGCCTTAACCCTTTTTCGTGTGCAAAGATTATCCCTAGTGTCATGATTGAGCATAATTTAAATTCGTTTCTATGCCACACATTTGACCAAGCCAATGAAAATAAGAAATATCTACCTTACCTTGGTTGTTCCTTGAAGCTAAATATGAGTGATTGGAAAAAGTAAATGAAGGGTGGTGTGGAAACTCAAACAAAGGGATGAATGATGTTGCAACTCAAAGAGTTCAATGGAAAAGAATGAAAATCAAAGAAAAGGAAGAAAATGGGTGAGAAGAAGAAAAAGAATGAACAAAAGAAAACAAAAAAGTCAAGGAAAATAAAGAAAAGAAACAAAGAGTGTGGTGATGGTGTTAGCCTATAAATCCCATAAAAGGGATATTTTTTTTTTGAAATAAAGGTCATTCACTCGGAACAACCTTCTTTGTCATCCTATATCCTTCATTTCACTTACCTCATTACCACCCCAGGGCCTCATTACAACCCTTGAAAGTCCTAAATGATCTAAATAAAGCATGGGGGAAGCATACTTTTAACGAACAAGAGAAGTTGGTTTAGCTGTCTAATGCCCTAGCATTCATTTCATGAGATTATGCCAAGGTTGTTTTATTTTTCATATATGAACTTCATTTTTGGATTGCATGTGAGTACACTTCGTTTTGAACACAAGATTCTATCTCACATGTACACATGGAGTGCATACTAGGATAACTCGAGTGTATTTCTTTGTTTAAGAGTGACTCTTGGTGAGTTTTGCATTGAAGTTGAATTTGGCTTAGCTATTCAAATGTGAATTCTGTTGTGAAAGTGCTCAAATTACTTGTTTAAGTCACACACACACAAGTTAAAAATGAATTTGTAGGTGCATACTTTAGACTAGTATTTGAGACTATAATTTTACTAATGTGTGCTTAGTTCACTCATCTGAGAAATGTGTTAAATAGTTACATACCTGCAGAATAGGGGAATATTGCTCAAGTTTTTGATATTTGGGATGAATTAGGAATGCCTATGTTATTAATTATGTGATTTGCATTTTGGGTGTTCATTTTGATAGTTAAAGTTAGAAATCCATTCCTTGCACATTGAATGCATCAAAATTTTAAACCACATTGCAATTTTTATAATTAATTGGGCATGATGGCTCAAATTGTGGCTAANGTGTTAAATAGTTACATACCTGCAGAATAGGGGAATATTGCTCAAGTTTTTGATATTTGGGATGAATTAGGAATGCCTATGTTATTAATTATGTGATTTGCATTTTGGGTGTTCATTTTGATAGTTAAAGTTAGAAATCCATTCCTTGCACATTGAATGCATCAAAATTTTAAATCACATTGCAATTTTTATAATTAATTGGGCATGATGGCTCAAATTGTGGCTTACAAGTGGAGTACATGTTTAGGGTGGAGTAGAGGTCACAAAGAGACTGTTAGGATGTATAGGGGAGGTCTTAAAATGAAAAAGAAGTGGAAAGGGTTGCCTAACAAAAATTTTTTACAACTAAGCCAAATTGTATCGATACGCGTACCGGTACACTAAGACCTCTAGAGTGCGACGTACCAATACACTTTACCTGGAATTTCAAAAGTTAGGGTTTTCAATTGATTTCTTTCGGGAATCCGTATCCCTTCCCTCTTAAGCTGCACACCCTTTTTTTACTATTCTCTCACCCGAATTCTCCCTTAGATTTCTAAATCCCCTTCATATTCCTTCAACCCTTCAAATACTCTCCCTTGTGCTGTGATTTAGGAAAATCAAATCTTGGAAACCCTAGGTGCCGAAAATATCTCAAGCCTTCATTTCCCTTCAATTGTCAATTCTCCTAAAATCTCTCACATGGCTCGTCCTGTAATGTTTCCCCAAGATGCTATGGACTTGATTGAAGGTCTCCTCTTGACTCTTTTCGCTTTTTTGATAATGGGCACACTGTTGATGTGCATGGCCCGNAGGTGCCGAAAATATCTCAAGCCTTCATTTCCCTTCAATTGTCAATTCTCCTAAAATCTCTCACATGGCTCGTCCTGTAATGTTTCCCCAAGATGCTATGGACTTGATTGAAGGTCTCCTCTTGACTCTATTCGCTTTTTTGATAATGGGGACACTGTTGATGTGCATGGCCTGAACTAAGAGGCCCAGATCCGACAACCCTCAACCCGAAAGGGCAAGCGAGAACCAAAGTGAGCAAAGGAAGAAGGCAAAGCTTGAGGCACGAATGAAATTGATCCATGAGAAAAATGTGACATGTGAAAGGCACCTTGATCACATTTCCCTTACTCCAAGGAACGAAGTTGTTCAAATCATTGAGGCACATGGTATGAAATTCTGGTTTGAACCAGTTAATGGTTTGAACTTGTCAATGTGTAGAGAGTTCTATCAAACTCTTAGGGTGGCGGACGTGAATGAGGTGGAAGTGTTGAAAATGAATGTTCGGGGTAAAATGTTTGTGGTGACTACTTGACAAAATTCATTGTTGTTTCCTAACCTATAAACATCACCTTTTAGCATGTACACTATATGAATGAAGGGGAGTGTCACTCTCCTATGGATGATGTCAAAAGAAAGGGCAACAAAATGGTGGATAAATGAGATTTAAAAAGTGCTCCCCAAGCATAAGGAGACTTTTGCGGATCGTGTTTTACTTGGTAGTATTCCAAGGTCGTTTCCACGGGGAATGAAGTAAACCGAGGGGAAGGTGATTTNACCTTGATCACATTTCCCTTACTCCAAGGAACGAAGTTGTTCAAATCATTGAGGCACATGGTATGAAATTCTGGTTTGAACCAGTTAATGGTTTGAACTTGTCAATGTGTAGAGAGTTCTATCAAACTCTTAGGGTGGCGGATGTGAATGAGGTGGAAGTGTTGAAAATGAATGTTCGGGGTAAAATGTTTGGGGTGACTACTTGACAAAATTCATTGTTGTTTCTAACCTATAAACATCACCTTTTAGCATGTATAGTATATGAATGAAGGGGAGTGTCACTCTCCTATAGATGATGTCAAAAGAAAGGGCAACGAAATGGTGGACAAATGAGATTTCAAAAGTGCTCCCCAAGCATAAGGAGACTTTTGCGGATCGTGCTTTACTTGGTGGTATTCCAAGGTCGTTTCCACGGGGAATGAAGTAAACCGAGGGGAAGGTGATTTTGGGAGGAAGAAAGTGTAAAATCTTTGATTGTTAGAAGTTGTTTGGTGAAGTTGTTTTGATGCTAGTAAAATGAGAAACAAATGTTGGCAAATCCAAGAGGTCACTCCAATAGGAATACCGTCTCAACTCGAAACCCTCCTCCAATAGAGCATGAATGAACGATTGATTCGTGGGAAGCTAGGGGTAAGATTGGTGAGTATCTAATCATAAACTGTGACTAGGCCTACGGAATATCAAAGACTCACCAAGTTATCCACCCTGAACCCAGTCAAACCGNTGTATAGTATATGAATGAAGGGGAGTGTCACTCTCCTATAGATGATGTCAAAAGAAAGGGCAACGAAATGGTGGACAAATGAGATTTCAAAAGTGCTCCCCAAGCATAAGGAGACTTTTGCGGATCGTGCTTTACTTGGTGGTATTCCAAGGTCGTTTCCACGGGGAATGAAGTAAACCGAGGGGAAGGTGATTTTGGGAGGAAGAAAGTGTAAAATCTTTGATTGTTAGAAGTTGTTTGGTGAAGTTGTTTTGATGCTAGTAAAATGAGAAACAAATGTTGGCAAATCCAAGAGGTCACTCCAATAGGAATACCGTCTCAACTCGAAACCCTCCTCCAATAGAGCATGAATGAACGATTGATTCGTGGGAAGCTAGGGGTAAGATTGGTGAGTATCTAATCATAAACTGTGACTAGGCCTACGGAATATCAAAGACTCACCAAGTTATCCACCCTCAACCCAGTCAAACCGAACCATTAAACTCTGAAAGAGGGGAGGAGAATGAGTTGAAATGGTATACCCAAGTGGAGGTTCCTCTTGGTTTTGCCAACTAAGAGATTTAGCTATTCATGCTTAAAATAAAGACAACAATATGATGAGAAGACATTATGAAGAAATAAAGACTAGAGCTAACCATAAACGAAATGCATAAATATAACTTCCGGATAATCACCTCTTGCTAAAGATTAAATGAGAAACTACTCACTATTCATGGCTTTGTTAAAGCTAGAAAAGTGAGTGATGCTCATCCCTCCAAGTAGAGGAGTTACAAGATAAAACACTTTACACAAGGAGCCGGTCTTCGATANCCTCCTCCAATAGAGCATGAATGAACGATTGATTCGTGGGAAGCTAGGGGTAAGATCGGTGAGTATCTAATCATAAACTGTGACTACACCTACGGAATATCAAAGACTCACCAAGTTATCCACCCTGAACCCAGTGAAACAGAACCATTAAACTCAGAAAGAGGGGAGGAGAATGAGTTGAAATGGTATACCCAAGTGGAGGTTCCTCTTGGTTTTGCCAACTAAGAGATTTAGCTATTCATGCTTAAAATAAAGACAACAATATGATGAGAAGACATTATGAAGAAATAAAGACTAGAGCTAACCATAAACGAAATGCATAAATATAACTTCCGGATAATCACCTCTTGCTAAAGATTAAATGAGAAACTACTCACTATTCATGGCTTTGTTAAAGCTAGAAAAGTGAGTGATGCTCATCCCTCCAAGTAGAGGAGTTACAAGATAAAACACTTTACACAAGGAGCCGGTCTTCGATAAAGAATGAGTGAATCACGTTCCATCCTTCACGACTTTGGTAAAGCTCTAGAAAAGTAGAAGAGTTTCACTCCTCAAAGGGAAGAAGGAAGCTCAAGCAATTANTTTGCCAACTAAGAGATTTAGCTATTCATGCTTAAAATAAAGACAACAATATGATGAGAAGACATTATGAAGAAATAAAGACTAGAGCTAACCATAAACGAAATGCATAAATATAACTTCCGGATAATCACCTCTTACTAAAGATTAAATGAGAAACTACTCACTATTCATGGCTTTGTTAAAGCTAGAAAAGTGAGTGATGCTCATCCCTCCAAGTAGAGGAGTTACAAGGTAAAACACTTTACACAAGGAGCCGATCTTCGATAAAGAATGAGTGAATCATGTTCCACCCTTCACGATTTTGGTAAAGCTCTAGAAAAGTAGAAGAGTTTCACTCCTCAAAGGGAAGAAGGAAGCTCAAGCAATTAAAATAAAAGAAAGCAATAACACAATAAAAGAAAGCAATATTTAAAGTAAAAGAAAGCAATAAATTAAAAGAAAGCAATAATACAATAAAAGAAAACAATACTTAAAGAAAGCAATAAGCAATAAGGAAAGTCATAATACTTTTGGAGAGTTTTCCACTACGAAAAGATGAATGCTTTACAAGTCTTAATGGGTGGTATTTATAGGCAACAAGGGAGGGTGTAAGTCTTGTTAGGTGGCCTTGAAAAGTCTTGTTTGGTGGCATGAAAGTCTTGTTAGGTGGCCTTGAATACTTTGATCCCCCTTTGTTTTGAGCTTTGATAATTGGCACCCCAGTAGTTTGTAACTTTAATGCAATTGGCTCTCGAATAGTTTGTAGCTTTGACGTATAAAACCCTGAAAAGAATAACAATTAATGCATTANGTAGTGTAGCACACCTCTTTCTTGATTTTCGATCTTTTGCCTAGAAATGGTATTTCTTTCTTTCATTTTTTCTCATCTTTCACTTTCTTGCCAATTCCCTATTTTTTGCTTTCACTAATTTTTCATTGAACAGTAGCCACCATCTTCTTTTCTATTTTTCTTGCCTTTCTATGTCATACCTATTTATAAGAGGGTGCAAACAATGGATAGTAAGGTATGTTAAGTGTATTTTTTTGTGGCTCGGTTATCATATGGGTTTTTTTTCGAAAACAAATCCTCATTCATTGAAGGCTTAAACATGGTTAACTAGAGATATAATTTCGTATAAGCAATGGCTAAGGCTCAAAATCAACTAAAAGATGGCCTAAAATCCTTTCTCAAGTATGTGCCTATGTATGTGTCACATGCAAAGGTTCCCTATGGGATATGTCAATATATTACTTTAGTTGCATTTAATCAAAGCAAGTTTAATGAGATTATTCAACAGTTGAAAGTGAAATAGCTTACTTGAGTAAATGTTGATTGCCTCTCAGAAAGTATCGTAAGGCTTAAAACTTACTATGGTATTCTTTGTTATCTCCACTGGTTATGTCAGGTTTCTAAAGAATGTGAGTTATATTATAATTCTATTTTCGAGTCTGGTCATTCTGTACCTTAAGATTAACAAATACCAATGTACATTTGACATTTAAGCTTGCCCTTGGCCATGATATTAGTTTTTCTTGGGAGGCATGGGAGATGCATATGCACTTGAACCATGAGGAATGAGGTTCCCATTTCTTCAACTAAAATTTGGGTGATTACTCTAACCCAGATTGGTAGAAAATGATTGCCTCGTTTGGTTGAAGGAATGGACTTGTTCATGGTACACTTCTTTAAGGGTCAAAATGTTTGGGCAATCCGATAGGGAACGCTCCATACATTTGCAAATTGAATAACCCTCCTCGGTTCGTGACACATTAGACACCTCGTGTCTCTTATTGTCTTCAAGACTCTCAACTTTCTTTGATAATTTAGCAATTTTTGAAAGCAAGTCTTTGTGGTCTCTCAAGTCATTTATCCCCCCCATTGTGGTTGACTACTACCCGGAGAAGTCCTAGGTACATCATTTGGATCCCTAATGTCCCAAGATTGTGCATTATGGGCCAATGTGCTAAAGTAATCGAGGGCCTTATCAGGGTCTTTGTTCAAGAATTCACCCTTGCACATCGTGTCAAGGAATTTTCTATGGGTTGGTGTGATTCCTTCGTAGAAGAAACTTACCAGTTGCCACGATTCAAATCCATGATGTGAATGGATTGCAGCAACTCCTTGTAACGATCCCAACATTGATAGAATTTTTCATTGGGCTTCTTAGAAAATTTTTGAATTTACTCTTTCAAAGCAGTGGTTCTATGAACCGAAAAAAATTTATTAAAAAATTCAAAATTCATTTGAGCCCAAGAGGTAATGGATCGAGGTCGCATGGCATAAAACCATGATTTGGCTTTATCTCTGAGGGAAAAGGGAAATAATTTCAATCGAGCTATGTCCTCAATAGCATAGTTAGCATTGATGGTTACAACCATATCCTCAAAATTCTTTAGGTTCTCGTATGGGTTTTCCCTTTTAATTTCATGGAATAAAGGAAGTAGTTGCAACATCCCCGTCTTAACTTGGAAGAGCTGAGCTTGGATCAGTAAGAGGATGCATGAGGGTGTGGTGCTACGGGTTGGTTGAAGGAAATCCCTCATAGACCTCGTCGGAGGATCCATTTGGATGTAATTCCCTTCATTCATGGGAGGGGGAAATTGCATTCGTGGATTAGGCATTCTAGGTTCAGGCAT